CTGAGAATTGTTTTAAAAAAGAAATGTTGCAAAAAGCCTTTCACATAATGTTTAATGCTCTATTTGTAAACTCTGAATTATATATATTTTCCCCTGCCCCAGTATCAAAGAATTGTATTAATCTGCAGAAGTTTTATTTTCCATATGATTATAGAAAGGATTCTTGTAAGAGGACCTCCAACTTTTGGGTGCCAAATAAACAGGCTGACCCATAACACTTGTTAATATTTGGATCCTCACTCGAAGCTAATGAGGAGCCTGCTCTCCATTTTTGACTATTCCATCATCCTTCTCAATAGTTTGCTGGAAAATTTTGTTTTGAAATGTCTTCGGGTAGGAAACCATGACCTTGCAATCTTTATTTTTGTGAAATATCTTCTGTTTAAACTATAAATTCAATAAACATAACAATATTAAGATATGAATGTATGACAATTTCCATGGGCAACAAGTGTAATATATGACTTTACACGAGAAGGAAAAACATTATTGAACATTTTTAATTTTATTCCTTAGTTTTTAATCTTTTCTCAACCACTACATTTGTTGATGCCTCCCCAAACCAGCATTTATTCTCATTTTTCCCCACCTTATAATCCACATCTTTTTATTTGGCACCCAAAAGTACACATTCTCTGATGTTTCCAACTAATTTGAAAATGTTAAAAAATACTTCAACTAGCTTTGCTGCTAATGTTTTTGATAAGTTCGACACAAAGCTGCTAAATGATGTACTGTGTGAGAGCACAAGGCCTCCACAATGATGTACTGTGTGAGAGCACAAGGCCCCCACAATGAGATACTGTGTGAGAGCACAAGGCCCCCACAATGAGATACTGTGTGAGAGCACAAGGCCCCCCACGAGATACTGTGGAGATACCCCCCAATGAGATACTGTGTGAGAGCACAAGGCCCCCACAATGAGATACTGTGTGAGAGCACAAGGCCCCCACAATGAGATACTGTGTGAGAGCACAAGGCCCCCACAATGAGATACTGTGTGAGAGCACAAGGCCCCCACAATAAGGTACTTTGTGAGAGCACATAGCCACTACAATAAGGTACTCCATGAAAGCACATGACCTCCACAATAAAGTACTTCATGAGAGTACATGACCACTACAATAAGGTAACCTGTGAGACCACTAGGCTGCCACAATAAGGTATTCCGTGAGAATCTGCAAGATTATAATGTTAAATATTGCTCTGTAGCAGTCACTGTTTACTGTTAATGTAGAAGTTTCTTTGTCTGGCATAAAGCAACAAGTGTGGGGTACCCTACGAGGATTAGACTTATGTAAAGCACAAATATAATAATTATTATAATTATAATTTTCATTGATTTCTTTCATTTTTTTTTTTCACTGATTTTTTTTTTTTGTCAAAATCTTTCATTCTATTGGCTAACATTTGAATCCTTAACATTTCTTCAAGCTTTGTTCAGATAGTTGAACTTATTCATATGTTCACTGCTTTTGTTAGCCCTTGCCATGGTCGAAAAATGAATTGGCTGTTAAATTATTGACATTGTCAAATATATAAAGAAAAAGGGATTCATTTGTCTCAACAATATTTGGCAAATCTCTCTTCCATTTCAATGAAAGACGGATTAGTGAATCAGCATTGTGTTGAAAATACAAATTTGAAATTTAATCAGTTTTTTGCAACAATGTCATATTCAAAGGAATTCTTTCTCTTTGATTCAATTTCACTTGCCATACTGAAGCTTTTTTAAAAATAAATTTTTCAAACTTTTTCTCTGATTTTCAACTGACAAAATTGATAAAAAAAATTGTTTTAACTGTATTTTGTCCTCAAAAAAGTGTTGTTGCGAACATTAATTCATTTTTAATGGGCTAACATTAATTCATTTTTTAATGGGCTAACATCTGATATTCTCCCACTGAGATGAATTCCAAATTGACTTTGTGGTAGAGCTAAAAACTAATACTCCAATGGTCTTGAGGGTCTGTAAAGTCTGTCCAGAAGATATCCAGCCATTTTTAAGATCTCTATTATTGGTTTTGCAGCCTTGATATAATTTGGTACCCAATAAGCTGTTAGCTGCATACAATCACTTTCTCAGATCAATGATTAAAAATGGCTTGAGTGAATGAAGTCTGTAGGTCTTAGTGAGGACTATCTTTGGACCTCACAAGAATTAGAGACTCACAAAGAACTGTACCAAATAACATAAACCACATCATTTGAAGACTTTCAACAGCAGTAACAACTAAAATGCAAAGAAAATGTGACTCAATGAGTAAATAATGACATTATCAAGATGTTGACATTCCACACTATTTTAAGCAAAATGTTAGGAAGGAAACTCCCCACCAATACTGGAAAGAGCAATAACTGGACTTATAAGACTTATTTTCTGGAAAAAATTTTTTTAAGTTAAAGATTTTATAAATTTCAACTGGAAGTGGCGCTGGCAGCCCAGTCAATGAATGCTGCATGTTTCCTTATAAGGAAACGGTTAATATTATCATTACTACACATGTAGACACTCTCACTTGGGTTTACTCAGTTCTCAGTGAAATACCATTGAGTGAGTTTGTGTACTGTGTGACATTCACAGAGACTGAACAAATAGATTCTTCATGTCTTTTGTGCAGGGTGTATTTTGACACACTACATCATCCAGGTGTGTCAGCTCCCTACCATCCAGATTTTGTTCCTGTTATATATTTTCTTAAAGCTAACAGAGGCATTTATGGATGAGAATTCTGTGAGTTAGCTAATGCTGAAAGATGATTTTTCAAATCTAGAATAGATTTTAAGATCAGTGTAGGAAATTTAATTTATGATCTGGTATGAAATTATATGGCTTTTGAAAATGAACATTTTAAAAAGTATATATCTACACATACACACAATGAGTAACAAAACAAAAACTTTACTCACCATAAAGTGTTAAATTGAAAAATATAACAAAAAAAAAAAAAGTTAATTGGTTATCATTTCTTGCCTGTTACATATGTGCACATATTTGTATGTTTTGTCCTTGATTGAGCTCTGAAGAGGGAAGAGCATTAATTGATCATTTTTTTCATGTTACAATTCTTCAGTTTACCACTTTATAGTGAGTAAAATGTCAAATTTTTTTTTATAAGCCAAAATGAACTCTCAATTTAAATACTTTGAAGGATGATAAAATGCACCATTGCCCTAGGTAGGCTATTTCTATCATCAATCTTGAATAGTTGGATACTTTTCAGACGTCTGTTGTATTAAAACAGTCCTGTTTCAAACTGATTTTTCAAGAGAATACACTTCATCCCATAATAGTTGATACATTTGCATCTATATTTCATATACTAAATGTAACATTTGTTATGGGACAGTAGTAGTACCTCAAGACAAAATATCCCACTTGCTTTGTGGTGAGTTTTTTCCCTGTAAAAACTTCTTCGGGTTGTAGATATCCAATCACTTTTGATAATAATCAATGATAAAGGACCAATGGCTGGTTAGTCAGAGATTCCATTCCATGTCCCAGGTTATATATATATATATATATATACGCTTTTTCAACTTTACTCCTAGAGGCCGTAGCCCAACATATCATACAATTTTGGAATCAGGCTGACTCTGTAAGCAAATTAAAAACATTCCAGATCCAGGCCCACAATCATGAAATTTTGAATTCCCAAGTTTTCATTTGTTTTTGTTGATTTTTGTGATTTTTTTTTTTTTTTTTTTTTTGCAACAAATTTTTTGGTGTGATATCAATTTTTATAATTTGGAAATAAATTTGTGAATAATCAAAATTAATTGCAAAATAAAAATAATTGTTTGTACAGAAAGTAAGGACTTACGTACATCAAATTGTCTTTAAGTTAAGTGGCAGCAGAAGAATTATCATTGAACTTTTAAAGATAAGCTTAAATATTAATGCAATACTTAAATGCACCAATCAATTTTGTGTTCTTAGGAAAGGTTTCAAAATAGGTCAGTTTTTAAGCTAGCATATATATATATATATATATATATATATATGTATATGTATATTTATTTTGATGCTCTCAACACCTGGAAGAAGCATCTATTGTAAGTTTTCTATGGTAATTATAATTGATAGCTTACAAGACGTGCATTTTTATGACCCCCCCCAAATTAATGCAGCTTCTGATATTTAAAGAAAAGGCCTGTCTCTAAGGCTTTCCTATGACAATATCACATAAGTCATTTATTATCAAAATAGAAAATGTTTTCTTTTATTGCTGTGTGTGGCCAAATATAGAATTTTTTTTATCGCTCTTAAAAGATGCTCTTGGACAAAAATGTGACTCAAATATTTCAGACATGCCTAACTTTTTTTTGATAATATTGAAATGAAAACTAAGAAAATATTTTTTTTTCTTTTCCTCTCTCCTTCCCTCCTGCCTTCCCCTCTCTCTTTCCCTCCTGCCTTCCCTCCTTTCCTCTTCCTCTTTCCTTATCTATCTACCTCCCTCCTCTCTCTTTCCCTTCCTCTCTCTCGCTCCCCTTCTCTCCCTTCCTCTCTCTGCTCCCTTCTCTCCCTTCCTCTCTCTCGCTCCCCTTCTCTCCCTTCCTCTCTCTCGCTCCCCTTCTCTCCCTTCCTCTCTCTCGCTCCCCTTCTCTCCCTTCCTCTCTCTCGCTCCCCTTCTCTCCCTTCCTCTCTCTCGCTCCCCTTCTCTCCCTTCTCTTTCCCTCCAGCCTTTCCTTCCTTCCTTTCCCTATCTCTCCTCTCTTTTTCCTACCTCTCTCTCCTGCCTATACCTCTCTCTCTCCCTCCCATTACCTTATCTCCTCTCTTTCCCTCCAGCCTTCCTCTATCCCTTTCCCTATCTCTCCTTCCTCTCCACCCTCTCTTTTCCTCCCACATTCTTTCTCTCCTGCCTTCTGCCCTCTTTCCCTCCCACTTTCCCTCTCTCCCTCAGAAGGCTCATATTGTAAACATATTTGGGGGGGGGGTGGCTGGTAACCAAAGAGTTAAACATTCTGTTTCCCATGATTCAACTGCTTGTTAAACTACCAAAATGATTTATATAAAATATGATGAGCAGTTTTAAACCTAAAGTAATGTTTCAGATAATGCTTTTTCTTTTAATCTATTTTGGCAACATAGAATGACCATCTACACTTTAGCTAGGTCTTTAACTCCTAATTGGCTGAAATTTGAATCTAGCCATTGTTGATTTTCCCAAGGAGGTGACTTTTTGATAATGTCGACCCCTGGGAGATGATCCCAGTGAGTGGCACTGTTAGTAAGGGCCTGAAAATCATACCGCAGTTTAACCCCATGCCTTGTGAATGAAATTTGGTAGATGAAACTGTTCAGAAGCCATCAATGGTTGTGCTAGCATAAAGTCACAAGTCATTGTGACTGAGGGTTTGAGTATACTGGCCTAATTCAAAACTATTCATCACACCAGATTATATGCTCTCACTGAAAAACTGTAACTAAGGTCTGCTCAGTATAGTTGCAGTATAAATAACAGGTCACCTCTGTGCCTAGGCAGGTGTCAGCCAATCATCCTAGCTGACAGGCATACCTCGGATTTGGGTAACCTAACTCTGACATAGGTCACAATTATCTATTTGTTATGGACAGTGTTGATGTTAAGGTTGGTCATTAAATGACAAACTCTAAAATGACATTTGCTTTGTATTCCATTTTGAAAACCTGCTGATTTCCCATCCAGTAAAGATAACCCTATCTTATTTAAATGTTTGTATTTGTCTTCATGCATTGTGGAGACACGTCACAGAATCTTTCCAAATGGGAAATATTTTCTAATGATATCACATCCAGGAGTTTATTTTCTTTAATGATCTATTTCCTAATCGAATTTTAATTATTGTTTCTCAAGCATGTGAAAACTATGCTGAAGTAATTTTGGTTGTCTCCCTTGGACCCAGTCAATGTAAAATGGGGAAGTCCAATACTTTGTGTGTGTACTTTGCTAGGTACAATAGTTAAGCAGCATCTAGCCAAGATAGTTTTAAATGGGTGACTATTTTAAACTGAGAGATACTTAGATACAAACCATCAGTATTTAGTGCCTTATCTATTTATGGAGACCGTCCTGGGTATGACGTTAAACTATGTCCAACAGCAAGGCCTTTCTGATCAGGAGGCTTTGGGGAACGTGGAGCCACCTCTTAATTGCTGATGTTCCCAGGTCCACCCTAACCCGGGGTGGTAGCACCTGGTAGGGTCCCAGCTATGGGCAAATAGTTAACCCTGAAACTGAGGTAAAAAGCATTATGAAAGTGTAAAAATAGGTTTTAATACCAGAAATACTTTGTAAAAAAATTATTACTAGAAATAAATTTTTGAAGAAAAAAAAATATTACCAGCTATACATTTTTTTAGGAAAAAATATTACCAGAAATAGATTTTTGACAAAACAAAAATATTACCAGGAAAAAAAAGTTGTTGGCATTAATTGACCTATTGAGGTTGATATGTCATAAAACAAAACAAACAGTTATGGAGACCTTTTAGCATTGGTGAAGTAAATGGATGTATATAAATTTCTTTATTCCCCATTCTTAAATATTTTTCTTTTGTAGAAGCAAAGTGTTCTACAAAATGGTTACTATATTAATAAGCAGATTCTTTCTTCAAATCCTGGAACTTTATTCCTTAGTGATGTTGTCGTCGTTAATAAAATTATTCCAAGAATTCTTATTGGTGTCTTTCTGCAATCAAGGATGCTACAGGCTTCAATTCTTTCCTGTCTACTGCTTGAAAGAAACTGCAATTAATCTGTTACAAATGATAGTGGATTTCAGGTATAAGTTACCTCTTTGCCAGTAATAGTTTAACATTAGTTTCTTTAATCTTGTAGGCATATCAGCCTGATGGTTAAAGCATCAGCCTTTTTAGCCAAACATTTCTTAGAAAATGTTCACCCAGTCTAATGTAACACTTTTCTCTGTGTGCTTCCCTAAGTCTCTGAATTTTTTTCTCCCCGTTTGCAAAATCTACCACACTAATTATATTTATCTAAATATTTAATTTGCCAGTAATAGATGGGTGATAGCTCACTCAAACAGTGTTTGATTGTTAAAGTTCAAATGCTTGGTTGGTAAAAGCCTTATTAATTGGTACTCCTTTTTTAAAAAGAGTACTTTAAATATGTGCCAAAGTTCTAACAAAAAAAAAGAGTACAGTCTTTTTGGTGAGGCGAACAAGTGAGAATGTTACCATGTGACCTGAAGATTTAAATCCTTCATAAGAAAGAAAGTAAATATAATTTTTAGTCAAATGCTAAGTGCCCTTTTTGTTTGATGGTCAGTCTTGCACTATGTCTGCAGTGATTACATAAACCTTCTAAATTATTAATTTTTATAATTGAGAGAGTCAGCTGTGCAACATCTTTATAAAACTTCTAAATTGTGATCTGCTTGCCTTTGTGTAGACTTAAAATCAGCATTGTTTTCCTTGTTAATTTAACTGTCAGTTTATTGGCAAAATTCATGGAACTAATTGTATTTTGTATGTGTTTTGTCTTTTTTTTTTTTTTTTTAAATTGATTTGTGGTTATGGAAGTAAATCAGTTTTTTGATTCTATAAACTTTAGCTCCCCTCCCAATCTCAGCTTGACAGAAGCTGACATAGCTATTGAAAAGAAGACAGTATGTTTGACCTTTTTGAAATATAAAAATAATTGTTTAGGATGAATTACACATTTATTTAGAAATCAACTTTGATTTTTTTTTTTTTTTTTTTTTTTTTTTTTTAATGATCAACTACTGTCTATCTCTTTGTCTATCTGTCTATACCTCTCTCTCTCTCTCTCACACACACAACCACTTAAAAGTTTGTGAGCACCTTCAGCATGGTCATTTTTAATGTGAACAAATTTAAAATAAGCCCATTAAATGTGCATCTGAACACCAATTTTTAAAGTAGACTTTCCAAAAAAATGAATACAAATTTAACAAAAAAAAACAAAAAAAAAACCGGATGTGTTTTTATTATTTATTTTAAAAAAAAAATGAAAATTTAATGTGTAAAAGTATGTGTACCCTTTTAGTTCATACTTTGTGGAACGTCTTTTTGCAGAGATTACTTCAATCAAACATCTTCTGTAAGCCACTGACCAGTCTCTTGCATCTGCTTCTGGAGATTTTTGCCCACTCCTCCTTACAAAACTCAGCCAATTGAGAGAGGTCGGAAGGATAGCTGGCATGAACCACCAGCTTCAGGTCTAACTACAACATTTCTATTGGATTGAGATCCAGACTTTGACTAAGCCAATCCAGAGTACGAATCCTCTTCCATTTAAGTCATTCCTTGGTAGTTTTGCTGGTATGTTTAGGATCATTGCCTTGTTGCAGAACCTATTTTCAACCAAGCTTTAACTCCCAGACTGATGGTAAGAGATTCTGATCCAGAGTTTGTTGATAGGACTGAGAATTCATATTTCCCTGGATAATATGGAATCGTCCAGAGGCAGAATAGCAGACCCAGATCTTAGAATTTCCACCACCATGCTTTACTGTTGGAATGAGGTTCTTTGCTTGGTAAGCAGTGTTAGCTTTTCTCCAAATATGGCTGTTTTGATTGTGATCAGACAATTCTATCTTTGATTCATCTGTCCAGAGAATGGACTTCCAGAAGGCCTCTGGTTTGTCTAAGTGTTCTCCTGGTAAAGTTTAAATGGGCAGCTTTGTTCTTTGTTGATAGCAAAGGTTTCCTTCTAACAGATCACCAATCATTACCATGTCCATTCAATTTTCATCTGATTGAAAACATCTGGCCATTTACTCCAGATGCTGCCAGAGAAGTCTGCAACTCTCTGGAGGCAATGTATGGGTTGGCTTTTACCTCATTCTTTTTCTAGTATTTCTTGATGGGCATCTACTTCTAGGAAAAGTTGCAGTTGTGCTGAATGCCCTCCATTTATAAATTATGTCTTACAATGGATGGATTGAGCTGCAATTTTTTTTTTTGATGGTCCTATAGCTTTCCCCCAGACTGGTGAAAAGTCAGTAACTTCTTCCTGATGTCATTCGATATCTCCTTTTCTCTCGGCATTGTTGATCTGTGAGGCAATGCAGTAGTTTAGCTGGTTTCCCCTCTCTTTTAATCTGTGTTGCCCAACCAATTTACTAAGGATGTCTCATTTGATTAGTCAGTTTAAATTGAATAATTAAGTACCCAAATGTGTTTCGGCTGAATTTATTGCCTACTTGACTTCATCAATACAGATGTGTGTGTGTGGGGGGGGGGGGACATATTTTTACAAATGTCAGATTTTCAATTTGGGAGAAATAAATCACATTTTTTTAAATAGATAAAAGACATCCTTTTTTTGTGTTCATTTTTTTTGGAAAGTTTGCTTTACAAATTCGTGTTTGGATGCACATTTAATAGGCCTATTTGTTTACAATAGCTATGACCATACCTGGGGCAGGGTTTTTTCGCAAACTTTCAAGTGGCACATATATATATATATATATATATATATATATATATATATATATATATATATATATATATATATATATATATATGTGTGTGTGTGTAAAACCTATTTAAACTCGTGGGTGAAAAAACCTGATTAGCACAATTTTCAAATTAGAGGAAAAATAGGGAAAAAAGAAAGCACCAGAAACCTTCAAACAGGGGCAAAAAAATTCGTTCAGTACCTTAAATCTCTGGTAGAAAGAAAAAAAAACCCAGTGAGTAATAAAATGAAAAGTGCTCAGTACATTAAGTAGAGGAAAAGTAAAATAAATCCTAATGGACCAGGTACTACCTACCTAGGTTTCACCGCAGGGAATCATCCTATGTGCTTAAACCTAGGTAGGTAGTACCTGGTTCATTAGGAGATATATATAAAACCTAGTGATTTTGCTTTACTTAGGGTATTGAGCACTTTTAAATTTTTACTGTGTATGTATTTTTTTTTTTTTTTTTCTTTTGACTAGGCGTTGCAGTGCTGATTGATTATTCTTGACCAACATGGATATCATTAGTCTTTTTATTATCTGTCTATATTTCTGAGATGAG